ATCCCCACTGTTGGTGGCCCGCATCCAGTGGCCACTGTCGGCACATTGTGTGTCGGGGAGCCCCCGCGAGTGGACGTTTCCGTGCGTCCACCTGTGACCCAAATTCCATGTCTCACGAGGGGTGGCGGCTCCCGGGGGCCCGGGACTCAGGAGCGGGTGCCTAGGTAAGATTGGACAAGGCCGGCCTCCACGCCCGGGGGCCGAGGGGCACAAGTGCGGACAGGAACCACTCAGACTCAGAACCAAGGCGGGACGGCAGACACCTGCTGGGACCTCTGCCCCGGGAGGGAACGGAGTGGGGAGCTGGCCTCCGCTCGGCGGCAAGGTGGGGTCCCCTCCTGCATTTAGGGCCCAGCCTGGGAGGCCCCTCCGGAGCCGGCCGGCAGGGTTCCAAGGCCTCCTCCCGGGACCCTGGGAGCGGCACCCTCATCAGGCTGGTCAGCCCAAATTCCGGTCCTCCACAGAACGTGGCCTGACCCAGAAATCGGGTCTCTCGGAGATGGGCGCGAGGCGGAAGGAGACCAGGCCCAGGGCCTGGAGGAGGCAGGAAGGCCCGTCCCCTGGGTCCCCTGCATCAGGGCCGGGAGGGCGTTAAGTCCCTGCTTGTGGTACTTTGTTCCGACAGCCCCCGGAAGCCGTCACAGACCCCTGGCGGACTGGCGTGCAGGCACAGTGTGGGCTCTGTGACCACCCTGTGGGGCCCCCGCACGTGTGGGGCAACGGGCCCAGAGGCGGCGGGCATGGGCTTGGACAGCAAGGCCTGGGTTCAAGTGCCCACCCCCCACCCCCCGCCCCGGTAACGCCCTCAGGACGCCCCCCGGGGCCGCCACGGACTTGGCTATGCCTCCTCGTGGACTCAGAGCCCCCCTGCCCCCTGCCTGGGCCCCTCTGCCTGAGGCTGGGTGCAGTTCCAGGTGGTTTATGGGGTTTCGGCCGAGCAGTGGCCAGCGGCTGGAGTCTGCCGGAGGGAGGTCCCGGGCAGTGGGCCATCCGTGGCCCCAAGCTGTGTGGGAGTGGGTAGCGGGGCCTGTCTGGGTGATGGCGGGGCTCCAACGGCAGCCCCCCGGGGGGGGGGGGGGGGGGTGGGGGGGGGGGGGGGGGCCCCCAGGGGCCCCCCCCACCCCCCCCCCCCCGCCCCGGTCGATGAGGACCCACAGGCCGCACTGAGGAATGTCAAGGCCCCGGCGTTCGGAGCAGGCTGGCGAGCCGGGTGGCTGACAGACGCAAAGGTCACTGCTGATTAATACCGAGCTACCAAATGCCATGGGCCGCCAGACACGGGAACGCCCCAGCTCGCAGCTGGTAATGGCTTAGGGATCGTCAGCGGGAGCTCCCGGGAGCCTGGAGAGCACAGAGCGAAGCTCCCCCCAGAAGGTCAGCCCACCGGCCGGCAGACGGCCGAGCGGGGGGTCCCCGTGTCCCCGTGTCCCAGACAGACCTGAGGGTAAGCCCGAGGAGCTCCGCCTGGTCCGTGTCTGCTCTGGGCCTCTGCTGCCCGGCACACGCACAGCCGGAGACAGACACGAAGCGTGGCGGTTCACGCCCAGCCCCCAGGGCTGCGACAGGGGCCTCATGACAGCCAGAGCCAGGTCACCCCAGAGCCATGGCGCCCAGTCACCCCCTGCAAGGGAGAGACCAGTACTGGGTCCTCAAGGGGGATGAGGGCGGGCACCCATCAGGGGAGGCCGGGGCCCTGGCACCTTCGTTTGTGTCGGGAAGCATACGGGCGTCAGGGAGGTCAAGAAGCTTCTACTCACAGATGTCTGCCCTCCCCAGGGCCGCGAGGCCTCCTACCACTCCAGGACGACAGGCAGCAAACACACCTGTGCACACACACACACGTTCACACCCACGTGCACACGTGCATGCACAACCCATTCCCGTGTGAGTACACGTATACGCATATGCACACGTACAGACCCAAAATAGAACCCACTTGCAACCTGTAAAAATAAATCCTTCCTTCTTTTGTTTTTTAAATGTTTTTATTTATTTTTGAGAGAGAGAGACAGAGACAGAGAGACAGAGAGACAGAGACAGAGTGCGAGCGGGGGAGGTGGGGAGACAGGGAGACACAGAGCCTGAAGCAGGTTCCAGGCTCCCAGCTGTCAGCACAGAGCCCGACGCGGGGCTCGAACCCGCGAACCGCAAGACCATGACCCGAGCTGAAGTCAGATGCTCAACCGACTGAGCCACCCAGGCGCCCCAAATCTGTCATTCTAAAAGTAGAGAAGATAACAAGCAGGTTGAGGATAAGAAGTATATTTTACAAAAATTTCCAAATGGAGAAGTATGTATTTTGAAGTATCTGCTTCGAGCTTTCGTTAAAAATCAAGACTAAAGGCACTGAAGAAACGAGAGGACCAATCAGAGGCCTTCAGTGGAACTTCTGCCTGAGTGTCAGAAATGCAAAGATCGCTCAGCAGAAAGCAAACACAGGAAAGGTCACGGAGGAACCAGAAGTCAACCGGAGGAAAGAGATCCGCTCTAGAAGCCGTGAGGAACACGCACTGAGAGGGTCCCAACCAGGGACACGGTGACAAGCGCCATCTGGAAAGTGGAAAAGCTTTCAGTGAGTTTTGAGGTCAATTACATGGAGAAAGGAGTGTGAAAAATTGCATTTGGTTACAAGTCAGAACTAAACGTCAAAAACAATTCTTCAAAAATCACGTAGCAGACGGGCGCCCCGGTGGCTCAGTGGGTCAGGCGTCTGACTTCGGATTGGGTCATGATCTCAGGGTTCGTGGGTTCGAGCCCTGCGTCAGGCTCTGTGCTGATGGCTCGGAGCCTGGAGCCTGTTTCGGAATCTGTGTCTCCCTCTCTCTCTGCCCCTCCCCCTGCTTGTGCTCTGTCTCTCTGTCTCTCTCTTTCTCTCAAAATAATAAATAAACATTAAAAATTTTTAAAAATCCCATAGCATAAAAACTATAAGTGAAATAACATATAACACTACTAAAATAAATCTGTACATCTAAAAGAAAGGGGTGATTTTCTGAGAAAATGGGCTTTTCCAAAATTGTCTCAAGAGGAAAATTAAGAAGTCCAATAGGTGACTAACCCTGGAATGAATTCAAAGCGTTGCACGGGAAGTGGTGTCAGATCCATACAATTTCAGGGTATTTATGGATATTTCAAAATTTTAAGCAACAGATATTTCCGATGTCATATAAATTGATAATTGATTTAAAAAATATGAACGTGTTCTCCGGGACACCTGGCTGGCTCAATCGGTGGAGCGTGTGACTCTTGATCTCAGGGTCATGAGTTCGAGCCCCACGTTGGGCGTTGAGCCTACTTAAGAAAATATATGAAAATCCTCCCACTTAACTTTATGAATCTAGTTTAACCCTGACACTAAAACTTGGCAAAGACAGCATTAAAAGAAGATTTATGGAACAGTCTCAATTATGAATTCAGACCTAAGAATTCCAAATAAATTTATAGCAAGTTAAATTCAGTCACTGTCTTAATTAACAATACATTGAGTACATTGGATTTATCCCTCAAAGACAGGGATAAGCTAAAATTATAAAATCTAAGCTGTATCAATAATTTAATCATATCTACAGGTTAAATGAGAAATATAACTCATTAATAAATACCACAAAAGGCATTTGATAATACTTAATATCCATTAACCTTAATTATTTTTTTTGTAGAGAGAAAGAGAGAGCAACAGTGGGGGAGGGGCAGAGAGAGAGAGAGAGAAAGAGAGAGAGAGAGAAAGAGAGAGAGAGAGAGAATCCCAAGCAGGCTCCACACTCAGCTCAGAGCCCAACGCAGGGTTCCATCTCATGACCCTGGGATCATGACAGGAGTTGAAATCAAGAGTTAGATGCTTAACCAACTGAGCCACCCAGGCACCCCTCCATTAATCTTAATTTAAAAAAAAATTAATGTTTATTTATTGTTGAGAGACAAAGACAGACAGGGCATGAGCGGGGCAGGAGCAGAGAGAGAAGGAGACACAGAATCCGAAGGAGCCTCCAGGCTCTGAGCTGTCGGCACAGAGCCCGACACGGGGCTTGAACCCATGAACCCTGAGATCATGACCTGAGCTAAAGTTGGACACCCAACCGACTGAGCCACCTGGGTGCCCCAACCTTAATTTTAATCAAAGTAAATACACGCTTAATTTTAAGAGTCAGAATTATTTGCCAAGGTTTATAACATAATGCTCTAGTCCCTTAATTCCTCTTAACTTGTAGCAATTTCCTGCTTCCCAGAAGCCACAACTTTCAGCTCGTTTTAAAAAATTCTCCATACTTCATACAGTTCTAAGTAACATACTTCTCCTATCATTGCTTGATTTTTCAGTTTTAGATATTATCTACTGGCTTGCTTTGGAAGTTTGAAACTCTCTTACGTTGCCTCCATCATTATACAGTCCCATGGACTTCTCTCCCCTTTCTCATTTTTTGTGGGCTATATCACAATTTTTATTAAATCAAAATTATTGTTTGTGTTATTAGATCAGGTTAACGTCATTCAGATCTGAATGAAATGTGTTTTGATTGTATTTCCTTTGTTATGTAACTTTATAGTTTCCCAGAGTTAATAATTGCCTTACTAGTCATTAGCTTGACTTTTCTGCCTAAGGTTTACAGAACTCCTTGAATCCATGGGCTGATGTCTTTCATTTGTTCTGGGAAATTCTAGTCATCATCTTTTTGCACATTGCTTCTGCCCCATTTTCTCTCCTCTCTTTCTTAAACTGTAATTATTAGTGCCTTAGAACTTGAGCATGTTCCGGGCGCCTGGGTGGCTCAGTCGGCCAAGCATCCGGCTCTTGATTTTGGCTCAGGTCGTCACGGTTCACGAGTTTGAGCCCAGCATTGGGCTCTGCGTCGGCGGTGAGGTGCCTGCTTGAGATTCTCTCTGTCCCCCTGTCTCTGTCTCTCTGCCCCTCCCCCACTCACACACTGTGTCTCTCCCTCTCAAAATAAATAAACTTTAAAAACAAAAAAAAGAACTTTTGAGTAAGCTCCACATGCCTCACATATGTTTCTCTGTTCTTTCCTTATCTGTCTTTTCTCTCTGTGCTGCAGTTTGGGTATTTTCTATGAACCCGGCTTCTGGTTCCTCGATCCTGTATTCTGCGAAGGGTGTTGATAGAGTTACTAGTTTCTGACATTGAACATATGGCTGCAAAATATCCATTTGATCTTTTTCTAATTTAGTTCATGGTTTTTTAACAAATATTTCAATTCTCTGGTGAAACTTTCCATCTTTCCTTCAATTTTCTATGATATATTCATCATACTTATTTGGGAGTCCTTGCCTGCTAACTCTAATACCCAGATCATCTCTGGGTCTACTCCATGGTCTGGTTTCCCTCTTAATTATGGGCCATATTTTCTTGCCTCTTCCCATGTTCGGTTAGCGTTTGCTATATGCTTAACACCGCGCACGACGGAGCCGGCGAGGCCCAGGTAAGACTCTGTTCCGCCCGTCCTGTCTTCTAGGTGTCAGGCCCGACCGGGCTGAAGCCGGGTGGGCTGACCCACAGTGTGAGCCCCCCCTCGCGGCCTGCAGGCCGAGCCACCCCGAGGCTGTGAGAGGCCTGGTGGCCTTTCCGGTGCAGGCTGACTCCCCAGCCTCTCCTTTCCGGGCTCCCATCTGGTGAATGACTAGGAGTTTCTCGTCATCCCATCACAGGCCCGGACCGTCCAGGTCTCAGGGCCGCGGGCCCCGAGCTCTCCGGAGCGCGTTTGCCAGGGCGGTAGAAGGGCAGGAGGTCAGACAGTTGGGAGGAGAAGGAGGCTGGGGAGCTGAGTTTTGAGCCTGCCTGCCAGTGCTGGGGCAGGCTGTGTCTCCCTGCAGACAGCTCCCCGCGGGGTCCCTCGGGGCCCAGAGGGTCACAGCTGCAGGCCTCCTGGGGTTTGCTTTGAACCCTGCCCACAGAGGAGTAACCCTAGTACCAGGCCAGGAGAGCACTCGCTGTGCATTCTGAGCGTTCGACCAGCACCGCGGGGATAATTGGTTAATTATTTGGAGAAGAAAATAAAGTTAAATCCCTGGCCAAGCTTCCATATAAATTAATTCCGGATGGATTAGACTGGTATGAAAAGAAGAGGGAAAAATCACGCTGTAAATACAAGAGGCATATGTAAGTATTGCGCCGAATGGAATTTGATAAGAACTTTCTAGGCACACACCCGAAGAAGGAAAATACGACTGGCTTTCAGTGCGTGCCGTTTCCACATCTACGTATATGTAAGTGTCTCCAATAACTTAAAAGCCAAGTGACAAGCAGGAAAACACATTGGCAACAGAGGGAGATCTCCAAAACTGATGTAAAAAAAATGAAGAGTGGGGGACTAGGACCCAACCGTTTCAATAAAATAAATCCCATGTCTCCGTGAGCCAGGTGCCTCTACACATCAGAGATGAAACGAAAGGCAGGTGGGATTTACCTGGCACCCAGCTGCCCACCCCCGTCCCTGCCCCAGGTGAGCCATCTCCTTCCAGGGGGCGCCCCTCAGACCTGGTTTTGATTCTTGGCCCCACCTGCACCCTGGGATTTTCCCTTCAGACCTGAAAGGCCCATTAACATATTTTCCTAAACAAATAGATAGTTTCCCCTGGAGACAAAGCGTGCAGCCCACGGGGGCCGGGGGCTGAAAGGGAACCCCAGGAAGCAGGAGGCGGGGCTCACACCCTGCGTAGACGCCCTCTCCCCGCCCTGGGTGGGAAGTCCCTGACCCAGCCCGCCTCCCCCCTCCCACCCCCCTCTCCACCCGCATCTGCAACTGCAGGGGTCCTGTTTTGCCTCAGGACTCCTCCTCAGGGTGTGAGCATCAAGGGGACAGGGACTCTGTATGACCCCGGGGCGGGGCATGAGCGAACCTGGGGCCAGGTTGAAAGGATGCGGCTACAAGGCCACCCCGGTTCCCTCTGGCTCTGGACTTGTGGGTGACTCTGGCTTCCTTCTGTTTTACAGCCGTTCTACAGCAGTGACACAGGTATTGTTGAGGTAGGCAGCACACACTGGTAAGAGACAGTGCCCACTGAGCCCACTGAGCAGACACCCAGCCAGAGCGGCGGCCGAGGGGCCCCTGTGTGGGGCAGGGAGGGGACCTGACGCGGGGCTTGAGCCACAGAACGGGACCTGGCTGGGCTCCTCCTGGCCAAGGGGCCATAAACACCCGCTGGTCCAGAAGTGTCCAGGTGCCCAGAGGGCAGGGCCAGTGCCCAGCTCTGCCAGAGCTTCCGGGCTGTGACGCTGCCCGGGCACAGCCCTGCCTGCCCCGGACGCACCCAGCCCTCTCCCAGGGGTCAGGAGGAGACGCCGCGCAGGGCAGCGTGAGGGTCAGCGGGCCCAGGGAGACTCCCCAGGGCTGGTGCTGCTGCTGCCATGGGAACCTGGGAATCCGACCCTCGGCCAGGCCGCCCCTCCTGCCGGAGCCGCTCTTGTCAGATGGAGCTCCTGGCTCCCTCCCTCGGCCTGAGTCACCGGGAAGCGGGCCACTGTCACATCACCTGTGCCCGCACACCTCTGTTTACCCAGCCCCGGAAGGGGCGATGACCCCATGTGAAGACAAGGGGCCTGCCGGCTGCCCCAGGTCACCCTCCCAGGGCGGAGCGGGCTGGGCCCCGGTGGCCGCGTCACCGCCCGAGACTTGGGACCCGGGGGGCTGGGACCAGGCCAGGGACAGCCATGGCAAGGCAGGTGTGTCCACCGGGCCGCTGGGAGCCGCCGGGAATGAGGTGTTGTGTAACCTCCCCTTCCTCTCTGGGCTTTTCGATTTAATTGCGAGTGTATTTCCAGCAGCGGAATCTGGGCCATGGTGACGCGAGCGGATCTGAGGGGAGGGACCAAGGCCAGGGGTCTCTCCCTCCGCAGTTGTCCCCAAGCTCCTCCAAACTCTGGTGGGGTGCTCGGTGTGGGGGGACACTGAAAGCCTGCCTCCTGCAGAACACATCTGGGTGCAAAGCTGAGAAGCAGCTAGCCTGCAGACCCTCCTGCCCTCTGGGCCAACCCTCTTTCTTCCAGAACCTTCCTTCACTAGAAAGTGGTCGGGGCTGGGTGCTGTGGTGACCGCCCATGGCCTGGATCTCCAGGGTGTGACCTTCTGTGTGTTCTGCCCTGTCCCTGCCTGCAGGTGGCCCCCACCTCAGCTGTAGATGCCACAGGAACCTGGCCAGCGGTGGCTCATCCCTCCCACATCCCGGCCTTTCACAGCAGCCATGTATCCTCGGGCAGGGCTGACCTCTCCTGGCCTCAGTGTCCCCAAGTACAACAAGAGGGACCGCCCAGGGCCCAGCCCTACCCGTGTGGGTGCGCTTCGAGGACCAGGGACCAACCCACCACACGGGGCTCACAGTGGACCCTGCATCCACCCCTGGGCGGAGCTGGTAGGGGGACTTGTGGCCTTGACCTACAGGCTGACCTCAAATCGAGCGCTGCCCCTGCTGGTCCTCCCGGCCGGGAGGGGGGCCCTCTTTCCTGGGGGGCACCTCCAAGTGGACCGGACACTCGGCTGTCCCAGTGCAGTGTGGGCAGGTAGCTGGGGCCCGGCTCGGGGAGGGATGAGCGCCAGCAGGGCCCTCGGAAGGCGGCTTCCTCCCGGATCCCGAGCCAGGATGGGGCGGGGCCTTCCAGGACTCTCTACCGCCCGCCCGCCTGAGGCAGATCCTGTCCTGGAAGCAGGCTGAGCCCCCAGCCCCGCCGACCCTAGAAGCGCCTGCTGCCTCTGCTTACGCTCAGCTCACGGCACTGGCCTCTCTTCTGGGCGGGACTGAGGCAGCTGGCAGCCAGGAGTAGGTGAAGGGCAGGCTTTGGGGGTGGCCCGTCACTGGGCCAGGCCACCAGTGACATTTTTAGAAAGGATTTGGTATTTGTTATTTCCAAAAAGGCATCCAAGTGGTCTCTGCGGGAAAGAGCAGCACCTTGGCCTCCTTCCGTGTACTTTACGGCTTAGCGCTGTTCTTATTTTGAATTACACAGCGGCGGGGGTGGGGGCACCCCAATCCTCCCCGGGCCGTGGTCACAGCCCGGCATGGAGCCCAGGAGGGACTTGGAGACCCAGGCCCCAGGCAGGGGCTGCTGAGCGCCCAAGTCAGGCAGCTCCACGTCGGGGTAGGCCCGGCAGCGAGGCAGCCCAGCAGACCACGACCCCCGACCTGGCTGGTGGCCCCTGACCCAGCGACGTCTGTGGGCGGCTCTTGTGGGCATGTCTGCCGGGGCCACTGCCCGCGTGCTCCTGGGCCGGCCTGGCACCACGTCACGGTCAGGACGGTGCCCGGTGCTCCTGGCCAGCGGCTCAGCTCCTCCCCGCTCGGGAGCCGGTGGGTGGGGCCCAGCTTCGGGCGGCCGGGCACTGCTCTGGGGGGAAGAAGTGCCACCGTCCTGCCCCTGGGAGGCCCGGGGCCCTGGCAGGTCCTGGTGGGGACACCCCCGGCATGCCGGCCCTCTGCTGCCTGGAGGAGGCGTCCCCATAAATTCCAGGCCCCGGGACAAGAGTGACCTTGTCCAAAGCAGAGACCCGGGGTCCAGCGGGACCACCAGGGCAGATAACCCCCTCGGGGCCTCAGTTTCCCTTCACCTCAGCCTGGCACTGGCACCCGCCCAGGGGTCGGCCTTCGCCAAGAGCCGTGTCTGCCTGGCGGCTGGGCCTGCACACCCACGGGCAGAACAGACAGCACACAGGATCCCTGGAATGCTGGAGAAGAAGGCCTTCCCTCAGGCTTGGCCTGGCCCCCTCTGGACGCCGCGGCCAGGCTTGGACACAAGCTGGTTTCGCCGCAGCCAGAAAACATGAGGCTCTGGCACAGCGAGACAGGCGGCCCTTCCAGGGAGTGTGGGCAGGGCTCCTGGTGAGGCTGCCGGGGGTGGACAGGCGCACCGGGGATGCTGGCCTCGGGAGCCATCGGGCCGGCCAGGAGGGCCTGCGGGGGGCCCAGGAGCTCAGCTACGGGGGCTCAGGCAGCCTCAGGTCAAGGCCCCAGACCGGGTTTGAATCCAGCACTGCTGTTTAAGCCGGGGTGACCTTGGCCTCAGTTCCCCGTCTGGGATATGGACACAATGGATGTCCCTAGAGATTCGGGGCAAGCTGGTGACAGGGGGTGCTGGTGACCTTCTATGGGGACCCAGTGCCCCTTCCTCAGCCCCAGCCCCATGCCCCTGCTGGCTTCTCAGGGAGATGGCTGGGTGTGCGGATGCGGATAGGGCCCGTTTCCTGCCAGGCCCGCAGCCGACCCCCTGACCGCCGGTCATCTCCATAGCTTCGCACTGACCACCTGCCTTGTGTCCGGGCCGTGCTGGGAGCCAAGGACAACCCTGCCCTCAGGGAGCACAGAGGCCATCGGACGGGAGAGGCCCAGAGGAGACAAATAAGGAGGTTGGGAAACTGGCCTCAGTTGGGGGTACAGGGAAAGGCGTCCGGAGCACAGATGTCCCCCTGGGTCTTTGCGCGGGCCCCTGGGCACTGTTGGCTGCCACATCGACCTCGTGGCGCACGGGGCCGGAAGGGTCCTTCTTGGGTCCCGTTTACAGGCAAGGACGCTGAGGCCCAAGGGATGAGGCCTCTGCCAAGACTGTGAATGAAGAGCTGGGGCCTGGACCCGAGGCTTTGTCCTGCGGCCCCCAGGACAGCCTCCCCAGCCCGGCCCGCCCCCTAGCCCTATCTTCCTTGGCTGAAGGCCCACTTGCCTCCCCCATCAGCCCTGTCCCCAAGCACCCCCACCATCATTTTCCAAGGTGGCTGGGCCTCAGAAGAAGCTGCAGGCATCCCTGTGTGGGCTGGAATGTGACTCCGTGGGTTCCCAGGACCCCATGAGGTCCCCTATCGCTCTGTCTAATTTAGAAACGACTAATGAGTCCACTCCCCCCCAACCCCTGGGAAGCACTGCCATCTGTCCTGGTTTTCGAGGCTCCTCCTGATCCTGCAAAGAGCTGCAGGTGACCTGATTTACCCACAGTCAGAGGAGGAGGTGCCCACAAAGGCAGGCGGCAGCCAGCAGCGGGATCTGGTGACGGGGCAGGCGGGCTGGGCCCCCCAGCTGCACACCTCGTCCCAGGGGAGCCCGGGGGCGCCTCGAGGAGGCAGGCCGGCCCTCCGCCTCTGGGCAGTGGGGACTCCCGTTCCTGGGAGAACCCCAGGTCTCTGCTCCCACGACCCCCACCAGGGAGGCAGGGACACATACGGGCTCCCTTCTACAGCAAGAAGTCTCCGGCCAAAAGGTCACCGCCAGCCTGGAGATGCTCCCCTTGGACGTCATCAGCGGCCCGAAGGCAACCCCTCTCCCCAGCCCGTCCCCTGCACGGTGCCATCCTCTCTGGGACCCGAGTGCCCATCCACAATGCCAGGGCAGGGCCCAGTAGCCAGGGAGGTCCTACCCAGGCACATGATGCCTGTTGGTTCATTCATTCATTTGCTCAGCCGTGTGTCTACTGTTCTTGAGCGCCCCCACGTGAGCGGCCAAATTAGTACTGGGGACGAGAAGCAGTTCACAGCCCTGGGAACAGACGGGCACTGGGCAGGCGGGGAGAGAGGCCTGGGGGCCTGATGGGAAGGAGACGGGGAGGTTGGGAGGGTTCTAGGGAGGAGATGAGGCCTGAGCTGGAGAGCTTGGGGTGGGGCTGGGAGGAGACACACAGGGTCTCAGGAAGGGAGAGGGACGGGCAAGGCCCTGGCTGGGCTGGCAGGCGAGGGCAGAGTGCACTCTGGGAGGGCCCCCGGAACCCCTGTCCCCAGGCAGACCCCCACCCCCTCTGGGACTTAACGGCTGTAACTCTGGTCAGGCACAGGCTGAAGAGTAAGACAGAAGACAGGAGCGTCCGTCACTGACCCTGCAGAAAGGGAAGCCCGTATCGACAGCGTGACAGTCACCTGATGGCCACCTGGCTGCGGCCGCCCCCCAGGTCAGGAGGGACAGGGTAGCGGGGGAGGAGGGCGCTTGCTCCGCCCTCCCCAGCGAGGCTGGGTCAGGCCCAGGACAGACCCCTCCCCACCTGGGTCCTGCAATAGGGGCACGCAGACTGCTGTCACCCTGCGTCCTGCTTCCTGAGGCTGCTAGGCAGACGTGGACAGCATCGGGGACAGCCCACGGCTGGGCAAAGCTTGATCGTGATGGTTTCCATGAACCACAAAGCAAGCAGGAGCTCTTCTCCACTGTCCCTCACGGGGCATCTGCTGAAGGGTTTGAACTGGCTCCAGACCTACTCGGGCCAGAACCGCTGAGCTGGGACTTCTGTCCATACTGTGCAGTCCCCGCTCCTCAGGGGACTCCTGCCCCTGTGGATGGAAGGGCCTACAGACACCCCGGCTCCATCGTGGGCAACCGGCGGTGACAGGACTTGGGGCTGAGGGAGGGGGTGGCCCTGGGCAGGAGGCCACCACATAGCACCGAGAAGGTTGTTCTCACCTGACGAGCAGGTCTGGCCCTGAGCCCGTGCTTCGGGCACCTGGTTCCTGGCTGCCCGGCCACCTCTGGCAGGTGCCGATTGCCCCGGGGGCTGCGTGGGGTGCCCACCTCACCTCCAGGCATGAGGCCTGGCTGCCCGGGAGGAGGTCCCACGCGCTGGGAAAATAAAGGTCCCGGCGGGGGGCCGGCGGGGGGGGGAAGGGTCATCCAGGATGATCCAGGCAAGGGTCCTGGCAGGGGAGCGGGGGGCAGGAGGGTTCAAGAGATCAGAGAGAGGCACCTACCGGCTTGAAGGTGCAGAGAGGGGCCGGGAGCCAAGGAAGGCAGGTGCCTCTGGAAGGTGCAAAGGGCAAGGAAACGGAGTCTCCCCCAGAGACTTTGTAAGAACCCCCCCCCCCCCCGCCCACACCTGGACTCACCCACTCCACACTCGTGGCCTCCAGACCCGAGATGGTAAATCTGTGGCTTCTCAAGCCCCTAAGCTGTGGTGATTTGTTATAGTGGCCCCAGGAGATTCCCGCACCCTCCTTCTTGGGACCAGGGGTCCTCGTGGAGATGACGACGAAGGTGATGG